GAGAATTTTGTTTTACCAAAATAGTCGATAAATTAATAGGGTGATAATTTTTCTGAACTATGTTTTTTATAAAATTATTTTATTTTGAACTACAAAAATATGTTGTTGAGGTGTAGATTTATCATTTGAGCTTTGATTTTAATATATTTAATAAAAGAATTTATTTTTTTTGAAAGAAAAAGAATGATATGAATTAGGTACAAATATTGAGTTGTATTTTATTTAGGCTAGATCACAATTTTGGCCTTTCAATTATAGTTTATTTATGAAATTAGTCTCTCTATTTTATTTTTCAACAGTCTTTTATGTAATTTTTGAAAAGAAAAAAAAAGTTAATGTGTAAATTTTTTATGCATGTGGCACATAAATTGATGATAAAGCACAATACATGTAGAATAATAAATTTCTAATTATTAAAATAAATAAAAAATATTTGTACTGACAAAACAAAAAATATAATTAAGGTGAAACGAAATTAAAGTTTAAAAATCAAATAAATTTTTATAGAAAAAAATATAATGAATTATGTAATTTAAAATTAAAGTTATGGAAACAAAATCATTAAATATGAAAAGAAATTCATCTGGTGAATGGTTTGAAAAACACGCATGTTTCATTGTTTCTCCATAATCCTAACTCTGAAATAGTCTTCACTTTCATCTTCTTCTTCTCTCTTTTTTTTTTTTAAAGAGTTTTTGTTGTCTTACTTTTTAAATTCATTTGATTTAGATTCTAAAAAAATGGTATTAATCAGAAAGAATATTTATGATGGAGTCATGTGTGAGGAGAATAATTAAGGAATATATGAACCCAAAACCTATAGCGATTATTTCATGTCTCTTCATATCTGATTTTTCATTGTCTCTTCAGATTTTATATATGAACCCAAAACCTATAGCGATTATTTTGTTTGTTTCTTAGAGATAAAATATTGATTATTTTTAGATGCATATGTATAAAATTATGGGTCATTCATTTAGAGTAATTTTAACTTAGTTTCTTATAGGTGAAGCAACCTAAACTTTGGTGATGGAGAAGAAGAAAAATATAGAAATTTTTTACATCTATTATACCATAATACAATGTGATTATGGTGAGTAAAAATAATATAGAACTTGATTATTTAAATTTAATTATTACCCTTATATATATATATATATATATATATATATATATATATATATATATATATATATATATATATATATATATATATATATATATATATATATATATATATATATATATATATATATATATATATATATATATATATATATATATATATATATATATATATATATATATATATATATATATATAAGGGTAATAATTAAATTTAAATAATCAAGTTATATATATAAGGGTAATAATTCATTTATAGTCTTTTTAACTTTATTTCTTAATGATTGAGTAACCTAAAATATGGTAATGAAGAATAAAAATATAAATTATTTTAACATTTAATATACCATAATTCAATGTGAATGTGGTAAATATAAATAATTCAATGTGAATATATAAAATATGGTGCATTTATTTATAGTCTTTTAACTTTGTTGCTTCAGTGGTGAAGAAAACTTAAATTTGGTGACGGAGAAGAAGTAAAATTTTGAAAATTTTTACATATATTATACTACAATACAATGTGAATATTGTGAGTACAAATAAAGTTGAACTTGAATATTTAACTTTAGTGATTACCCATATATATATATATATATATATATATATATATATATATATATATATATATATATATATATATATATATATATATATATATATATATATATATATATATATATATATATATATATATATATATATATATATATATATATATATATATATATATATATATATATATATATATATATATATATATATATATATATATATATATATATATATATATATATATATATATATATATATATATATATATATATATATATATATATATATATATATATATATATATATATATATATATATATATATATATATATATATATATATATATATATATATATATATATATATATATATATATATATATATATATATATATATATATATATATATATATATATATATATATATATATATATATATATATATATATATATATATATATATATATATATATATATATATATATATATATATATATATATATATATATATATATATATATATATATATATATATATATATATATATATATATATATATATATATATAATTTATTTGTCATTCATGTATAGTCTTTTAAATTTGTGGCTTAGTAACGAAGAAAAATGAAATTTGGTGATGGAAAAGAAACATATTGAATAAATTTACATATAATAAACCATAATTAAATGTTAAATGGTAAATATAAAAAAATTTGAGCTTTATTTATTAATTTTAATTATTAACTATATTTTATGAAATATATGTCATAGATTATAGTCTTCTAACTTAGTTTCTCAGTGGAGAAAAACCTAAAATTTTATGATGTGGAATAAAATTAAAATATAATTTTTTTACATCTATTATCGTCTATAGTGTTTGTTTCTTAGAGATAAAATAACCTAAAACTTTGTGAAGGTGAAAAAAATATTGAATATTTTTAGATGCAATGTACCATATGTCAATGTGAATACGATGAATATAAATAATATTGAGCTTGTTTACTTAATTTTAACTATTACACATAAGTATAAATTATGGGTCATTCCTTTATAGTACTTTAAACTTAGTTTCTTAAAGGTGAAACAACCTAAACTTTGGTGATGGAGAAGAAGAATAATATAGAAATTTTTTACATCTATTATAGTATAATAAAATGTGATTATGGTGTATAAAAATAATATTGAACTTGATTATTTAAATTTAATTATTACCCATAATTTATTTATATTCTTTTAACTTTGTTTCATAAAGATTGAGTAACCTAAAATATGGTAATGAATAAGAAAAATATTAATTTTTTTAACATTTAATCTACCATAATTCAATGTGAATGTGGTAAATATAAATAGTTTTTAGTTTGACTATTTAACTTTAATTATTACCCGAATATATAAAATATGGTGCATTCATTTATAGTCTTTTAGCTTTGTTGCTTATGTGGTGAAGAAACCTAAAATTTGGTGATGGAGAATAAATAAAATATTGAAACTTTTTACATATATTATACTACAATACAATGTGAATATTTTGAATACAAAAAATATTGAACTTGAATATTTTACTTTAGTGATTACCCATATATATATATATATATATATATATATATATATATATATATATATATATATATATATATATATATATATATATATATATATATATATATATATATATATATATATATATATATATATATATATATATATATATATATATATATATATATATATATATATATATATATATATATATATATATATATATATATATATATATATATATATATATATATATATATATATATATATATATATATATATATATATATATATATATATATATATATATATATATATATATATATATATTATTTGCATTCATTTATAGTCTTTTAAATTTGTGGTTTAGTAACGAAGAAAAATGAAATTTGGTGATGGGGAAGAAGCATATTGAATATATTTACATTTAATAAACCATAATTAAATTTTAAAGGGTAAATATAAATAAATTTGAGATTTGTTATTTAATTTTAATTTTTAGCTATATTTTATGAAATATATGTCATGGATTATAGTCTTTGAACTTGGTTTCTTAGTGGGGAAAAACCTAAAATTTTGTGATAGAGAAGAAAAATAAAATATAATTTTTTTTATATCTATTATAGTCTATTGTGTTTGTTGCTTAGAGATAAAAAAACCTAAAACTTTGTGATGCTGAAGAAAAATATTGAATATTTTTAGATGCAATATACTATAAGTAAATATGAATACGATAAATATAAATAATATTGAGCTTGTTTATTTAATTTTAACTATTACGCATATGTATAAATTATACGTCATTAGTTTATAGTACTTTTAACTTAGATTCTTAAAGGTGAAGCAACCTAAACTTTGGTGCTGGAGAAGAAAAAAATATAGAAAATTTTTACATCTATAATACCATAATAAAATGTGATTATGATTTATAAAAATAATATTGAACTTGATTATTTAAATTTAATTATTACCCATATATATATATATATATATATATATATATATATATATATATATATATATATATATATATATATATATATATATATATATATATATATATATATATATATATATATATATATATATATATATATATATATATATATATATATATATATATATATATATATATATATATATATATATATATATATATATATATATATATATATATATATGATTTAAGGCAAAATAACCTTTTTCGTCCCTTAACTTTAGCTCGGGGTCCATGTTGGTCCCTTATCTTTAAAAAGTGGCAAGTTGGTCCTTTAACTTTTAAAGTGGTGCCATTTTAGTCCGCACCGTCAGTTTCCCCCATACGTCCGTTTGTTTTGTATATCTGGTAGATGACATGGCAATCTTGTTCATGACGTGGCTTCCTTCTCCCTCCCTCTTCCGTTGAAATCCCTAAAATAATCCCAAATCCCAATCCTGAATCCCTAAATTAATCTAGGGTTTTTTTTATTTGGCAAGCATGAAATCCAGATGGTGTTGATATTTTAGCCGGTTTCGAAGCTGCCATAAGTGATGGTGTTGATGTGATTTCAGTTTCTCTCGGTGCAAAGTCTCGTAATTTGTTTGCAGATTCAATTGCTATAGGCTCTTTTCATGTAGTTGCCAATGGTATAGTAGTAGTTTCTTCTGCTGGAAACTCTGGACCTTATTTTGGAATTGTTTCTAATACCGCACCTTGGTTTCACTGTTGCTGCTAGCACAATGGATTGAGACTTCACTGGTTATTTTATTTTAAATTTATTAGTACTTAGAAGATTGTTTCATATGAATTCTTGTAGGAAACACTGCCGATTCGGAACACTTGATGTTGAAAAAGTGAAGGATAAAATTGTGATATGCCTTGAAGATGAATATCTTGGAACATTTCATGCAGGTGCAGAAGCTTTTTCTGCAGGAGCAGTAGGAATGATTTTGGTTACTGAAATTGATAGCTTCTATGATTCTACTGCATACCCTCATATTTTACCTACTTCATATGTCAATTATACAGATTCTCAGTATATTGATTCCTACATCAAAAGTGAAAAGTAATTTTCTTTCTTCTATATTCATTTTTGTTTCCATTTTGTTATTATAGTTTGAAGAAATTGATGTTTCCTTATGTATTGCAGGAACCCTGTTGCTTACATAACAAAAGCAGTAACAAAAACTCTGATAATTCTAGCTCCGGTGATTGCTTCATTCTCATTTTATAATACCTATAAATTGGTTATGCTTTTAACATAAAGTTCATGACAGCAAAATACATAAACAACAACAGCAGCAGGATACATAAACTTGTAATACATTCCATAAAATAGACTTGTTCCATAACTGATATACATGTTCCAAAATAACAGCAGAATACATAAACTTGTTCATGACAACAACAAAATACATAAACTTTTAATACAACTGATACACATGTTTCACAACAACAGCAAAATACATAAACATTGTAATACATTCCACATGACTGTCCACATAATGTGTCCAATCCACTTGCCATTCCTACCTGTATTTTAACCAAAACAAAAACAAAATAACTGTGACGCAGTGTCCGACACTCGAATGAAGAATCAAAAGCAAAGAAATCGGATAAAAACTAACTAATAAACTGAAGCCAGTGATAGTAGCACAAGAAGTAGCCATGGAAACACCAGAAAGAGTCAATTCACCAAGATGACCAACAAACATAACTGAAATGAGATTTATACCAAAATTCAAAAGTGAAACTGAAATTAATGGTCCTGATAGCCGTAACTGTTTTTTCACTTCTTGAATCAATTCTCTTCTATCTTCTTCCTTGTTGTTCTGATTTGTTTCTTCAACAATCAATGGAGAGTGAAGAGACATTTTCTTTCTTTTTTTCCCTTCCGTTTCTATCTTCTAGTATTAGTATCTCTGAAGAGGAAGAGGATGAGGGAGAGAGAAAGTGAAATCTAACACTTTTGTTTGGTTTTGATAAAAAAAAACAAACATAAGAAGAGAGAATACGGTAACCTGAAAAACATAAATGAAAAGAACAATTTTGACAATAAAATTACAGATAAAATGATAAACTCAATTCATTAAAATTTAAATGTGTTGGATAAAAGGTTAGGTCAAACCCAATCCATCCCAATTCATATACACTTCTAATTTCAACTTTTGTCTCACACCTCCATGTTACTCTTAATTTGACCATAATAAATACCTCCACGTAACATTTGAAGATGAGATGAGATAGCTTTCTCATAAAGATCATGAAGCACTATCCTCTTTGCAGAAACTCCATTTCCATCTGTTTGTGAGCATCTAACCCTGCAAGAAAAAAACCAACAGTCAAAGGTTTGCCTCCATATAAATCTTGTTTGGAAAACAAAATACAAGAAGCAATTATTCATTGATGAAAGATCGAATGCGAGGAAGTTAGTTTTGATGGATCTGGACCGAACCGATTATGGTGAAGAAGCGCTTATTGCGTTTGGTGTTACAAGCTTTGAAAGTGAAAGTGAAGACAAACGTGGCAATTTTAAGTTATGCTTATTATTTATATCCACGTCAGCAGCTCCACCTGGACAAACGTGGCAATTTTTTCAAAGTTTAACTAACGGAAACAAACGGAAGGATAAACGTCACACCATTTTAAAAGTTAAAGGACCAACTTGCCACTTTTTAAAGATAAGGGACCAACATGGACCCCGAGCTAAAGTTAAGGGACGAAAAAGGAACCAACATGGACCCCGAGCTAAAGATAAGGGACCAACATGTATATATATATATATATATATATATATATATATATATATATATATATATATATATATATATATATATATATATATATATATATATATATATATATATATATATATATATATATATATATATATATATATATATATATATATATATATATATATATATATATATATATATATATATATATATATATATATATATATATATATATATATATATATATATATATATATATATATATATATATATATATATATATATATATATATATATATATATATATATATATATATATATATATATATATATATATATATATATATATATATATATATATATATATATATATATATATATATATATATATATATATATATATATATATATATATATAGATATACATAATATTTGTTATTCATTTATAGCCTTTTAACTTTATGGCTTAAATGGTGAATATAAATAAATTTTAGGTTTATTATTTAATTTAGTTATTACCTATATTTTATAAAATATATGTGATGGATTATAGTATTTTAACTTTGTTTCTTAATGGGGAAAAACCTAAAGTTTTGTGATAGAGTAGAAAAATAAAATATATTTTCTTTACATCTATTGTACTCTATTGTGTTTGTTGCTTATAGATACAATTACCTAATTTTTGTGAGGGTTAAGAAAAATATTGAATATTTTTAGATTCAATATACCATAAGTCAATGTGAATACGTTGAATATAAATAATATTGAGCATGATTATTTAATTTTAAATTTTATGCATATGTATAAATTATGGGTCATTCATTTATAGTCTTTTAACTTAGTTTCTTAAAGGTGAAGAAACCTAAACTTTGGTGATGGAGAAGAAGAAAAATATTGAAATGTTTTACGTATATTAAACCATAATACAATGTGATTATGGTGAATATATATTACGGATAATTGTTAACTTTGTTTCTTAATGTTTGAATAACCCAAAATATGGTAATGACGATGAAAAATATTAAAAATTTTAAAATTTAATATACCATAAATTCAATGTGAATTAGGTAAATATAAATATTTTTGAGCTTGACAATTTAATTTTAATAATTATCCGACTATATAAAATATGATGCATTCATTTATAGTCTTTTAACTTTTTTGCTTTGGTGGTGAAGAAACCTAAAATTTGGTGACGGAGAAGAAGTAAAATATTGAATTTTTTTAGACATATTATACTATAATACAATGTGAGTATGGTGAATAAAATTAAAATTGAACTTGAATGTTTAACTTTTGTGATTACGCATATATATATATATATATATATATATATATATATATATATATATATATATATATATATATATATATATATATATATATATATATATATATATATATATATATATATATATAAATAAAATTTATTTACCATTCATTTAGAGTCCTTTAACTTTGTGGCTTAATGACGAAGAAACATGATATTTGGTGATGGAGAAGAAACATATTGAATATATTTACATCTAAAATACCATAATTAAATTTTAAATGGTGAACATAAATAAATTTTAGGTTTATTATTTAACTTAGTTATTACCTATATTTTATGAAATATATGTCTTGGATTATAGTCTTTTAACTTTGTTTCTTAGTGGGAAAAACCTAAAATTTTGTGATGGAATAGAAAAATAATTTTTTTTTTACATCTATTATAGTCTATTGTGTTTGTTGCTTAGAGAAAAAATAACCTAAATTTTGTGATGGTGAAGAAAAAAATTGAATATTTTTAGATGCAATATACCATAAGTCAATGTGAATACAGTGAATATATATAATATTGAGCTTGATTATTTAATATTATATTTTATGCATATGTATTATGTAACACCCCCTTTCTATACCCCCAATTAATCAAATAAATTATTTAGGCACATATAAAAATTCATTTATCAGAGTATATTCATGGTATAAAAGAGGTATGTCGCATTATCTATGAAATTAAAACATACAACACCTGCTCAACAAGATATGCAACAGTGGGGTAACTTTCAAAACAGAGGAACTTAGTCCTTACACCCACATCTCAATATATAGAATAATAGCGGAAAATCTAAACATTGAATCACTTCAAACATATATATACATATCATCCAGTTTGATTCACATCATCATTCATGTTTACATAAACATTCATCAGCAGATACATATACAAATGTAGCACAAAAGAATTCTAACAATCCTAGCTACCTGGTGCTACATATCAGAGCCGACCGACCAAAAAGAATGAAGTCACGCTTCACAAAAGACCTCCAGCAATCCTACTCTGCAATGCCTCATAGAGCATCATAAAACAGCAGAAGGGTGAGAAATATTATCATAATACCAATGCATATAATTATATATTAACATAATAATACACCTATCTCCATTCTCACCACATTCATCACAACTCAATCACACACACACACACACACACACACACACACACACACACACACACACACACACACACACACACACACACACACACACACACACACACACACACACACACACACACACACACACACACACACACACACACACACACACACACACACACACACACACACACACACACACACACACACACACACACACACACACACACACACACACACACACACACACACACACACACACACACACACACACACACACACACACACACACACACACACACACACACACACACACACATATATATATATCACAACATATATATAATTCACCAAGCATATTTATCATGCATATATTCACCATTCATTCATATACATCACAATGTATATATTCACACTAAACATACTCATCACTCCATATAAACATTTACAATTATGTTTATTTACCAATACACAATTCATGATGATAAATGCAACTCATAGAGACCGACTCACGACTCTATGCAGATGCACATGCGGTACCGACTCAATCATCTCAAGTTCACTCAGGAACTTATTGGAACCATCGCTCACACCCCACATGGGCACATGATGTTCACCCATTGCTCACACCCCACATGGGCACACAATGTTAAAGGATTGCTCACACCCCACACGGGCACACAATCTGATTGCTCACACCCCACACGGGCACACAATCGTTCAGCAGATTCTATGCGGAATCAATCAGCACAAGAATGTATATCATGATGCTTCACATGAAAAATGACTCCATACACTTCTTGAAATGCATACATATTCATAATGTTTTCATGCATTCCTCTCATATTATCACATACTGTCATCATACATTCACAATGTCATGCCAAATGGCAACAAACTCCATCACAGTCATTATGCATTTTTAGTCAATTTAAGCAATGCACATATATATGCCAAAAGGCCACATTTCACAATCGATTCCATAATCTAGGATTCACGCCATACGGCTACCCACAGCATAACATATAACAGTACACAGCTATACGTTATAAACATAATTGGATGGAAGCAACAAAATAAAACAAGTTGCTGTCACGTTCGCTG